TTTCGTGACCCAGATACCCATAGCTCGAGCATTCAGAGATGGTTGTTCCGTTCCGTTGAGCTGCTGCACTCCGCCGACGATCGAAGATCAGAGACATAACCGCATTTGCCAAGGTTTCGAAGATCAGGTGGGCCGGACACGTCATGCGTTTCGAGGACGACCGCTGGACCAGAGCGATCACCGACTGGATTCCACGGGATGTCAAGCGAACGCCTGGACGACCGCCTACGCGATGGTCAGACTTCTTCGTGAAAGCTCTGAACGAATGGTATGAAGTTCATCGTGTCCCTCGAGCAGAGAGAGTCCATTGGGCAACTCTTGCACGTTGCAGGGACGAATGGAGACGTTACTGGCGCTCCGCTCGAGGAACTCGATGATCAGTGGGAGTACCGGCAATACAGGTAATGTTCCACACTGATCAATAGGTAATTTTCTGTTCCACAGGATACCGTGAATGCTTTCAGGTCGGGTTAACGCGAATGAGAGTTTCTGACAACAAACTTAATCTAGGCGCTCGAACTGCAGAAGAGTAGCAATTTGTGTGACCTTTACATGATCAAGCGGTGCCTCTTATTGTTAGGATGATTTTAAAAGGGATGAAGTGATTCAGAGAGAGAAATTTAGACCTCGCAATGTGTGTCGCAGTGGCGCCCGCTTGGGAAACAACTGCCATAACCAGGTTTAGTACCTATCGCATCAAGTGAAGGTGATGCTCAGAAAGGAAATGAAAGCTTCCCATCACCTCTACCCGTTCTTTGGCGTGAATCTCCGTGAGTAAACTGATTCAGTAATTGTACTCAATAGGTTACTAGGTTCGACGCTTGTCTGTGAGGTTATAAATAGGGTGAGGGGGATTCAAATCGTTGAACTTTGTATCGTTTTGTACCTCCCTAACAGACACTGCTTTCACTTCAAGGAAATATACTTATCGAGTTGGCAAACGCGATCCTAGCCTTCTAATAAGTGCAAGAAAGGCGACTATTCCAGAACTGCTCAATATCCTTGTTTTGACACTCCACATTGAGTACTAAAAAGGAAGCAGAATCTTTCGGAGGGAAAAACTGTGTACGCTACCGCAGAGCGCAAAAAATTCTGCATCAAACAGTATGGAACTCAATGATAGAGCTCACTTTCAACCCGGAACTTCGAGTTCTAGAAAACGTTGCTACTTCGGACCAACCCATTACAAAAAAAACCAATCGGTGATTTTCAAGTCAATAAACTTAGTGCTTACAAGGATGAGAAGAATAATGCCATGGCAAACACGGATGCTGTATATAAACCATTAGTAAGCAGATCACCACAGATACGCTGGTGATATGAAAAATAGTACTATTGTAGTAGGAGAGCGTGACGTTGAGTAGGTTGGCGATTGTGACGAAAGGCAATGTAGATAGCAATGCTGACAACCAAACAACAATAGTGTCGGCACCCATTGAATGCATTACCTGATATGGACAGCATAAGTAAGGAACCAACAACAGCTACACCAATCTGAAGCGAGGTTCTCTTTGACCACATAATTAAGAGAATCCTAGGCACAATCCACGATAAATCTAAAACCTAGCTGATGGAGTTGAAAAACAGAAGTGTATGTGCCTTCATGACTGACCCTCCTAACAAAACGCAGAGAAAACGGTTGAGCATTCAAACCTCTGAATGAGGCTTTCTTGTTCCGAGAGATTCCAAGTTACCGGGTAAGAATCGTTGGGGTCCCAGGTGAGATAGAAGCAACAATGCAAACAAGCGCGATACAGAGATCAAAGTGGGATTTAGTTTACTTTATTCTCGACCATGAATCATCTCGTCTCACGGGGCTTTGTGGTCTATGCCATTTCCACTTTACATCGGTCTTTCAAACCAAATCCGACACCTTTCAAATAAAATCGGACACTTTTCAAATAAAATCGGACACTTTTCAAACCAAATCGGACACTTTTTGAATCGAATCGGGCACTTTTCAAATCAAAACGGACACATTCCTTATAGTTGGCAGTTGATAACTGGACACCGGCTTCCGAATGCTGCCCTCTGAAAATGTGAAATGTTGGAGGGCTTGCAGTATTCGGGAACCTTCAAGGTTTTTCAAAATGTTCTACGAATTCTGCTTCTCCTACTTTTTTCATTTTTGAAGGACTGGTACCGATACAGATATGACTCCGCCCACTTTTCAATGAAGTCGTCGCAAGTTGGTATTTTTATAACTTTTTTCGACCTTTTTTCATTTCTTTCACAATCAATCTTCACAAAACGAACATACTAGCCATGCATTTATACACTCGCACACTGAGGCCCGCCTCTCTGACCAAGCCCACTTCCGTGTTTTTCACAGAATTTTGATTTCTCTTCAATTTTCACTTTTTTTATGCTGTAACAAGTAGCTCCGCCCACGTCCGCCCAGCTCGTAAAGCTCCGCCCACTTTTGGGAAGATCCAGATCGGCAGACTACAGCTTTTACTGGAAGGATGTTCTCTCTCGTCAGCTAGAATGAAAAAAGAAGATTTTTGTTCCGAGTGACAGGAGAGGCCTTAATCTGCCAGTGAGTGCTCTAGTCTGCTGACCCCAAACCATTTTTCAAAAGCGGGCAGGGCTACAAAATGATCGCAGCTTCTCCTAGTGGGCGAAGCCACCTGTTACAGCTGAAAAAGCGAAAACACGGAAGAAAATCGAAATCCCACAAGAAAAAAAACCCAAAAGGGGCTATGGCTCAGAGCGGTGAGGCTCAGTGGTAGTGTATAAATGCATGGCTAACAGTATGTTCGTTGCGTGAAGATGAAATTTGAAAGGAGCGACGTCGAAAAAAGTTTTGAAAATTCAAACTCGCGGGAACTTCATTGAGAAGCGGGCGGAGTCATATCTGTATCGATACCGATGCTTTTCAGATGAAGTGTGTGATCAACCGAAATAAAAAAAAATCGAAGAAGCAAAATTCATAGAACATTTTGGAAAAAGGTGACCACGCTGACAAGTGGGTGAGGATGTTGGGCGGGGATTGCAGCAGTAGCCAGTGTCGTCTAGGTTATCAAATCTGCCTACTGTAAGGGGTGGTCCAATTTGATTTACAAAAGAAGCCGTTTTGCTTTAAAAGCGCCCGATTTAAAGTGAAAATGGATACATCACCAAATTTGCTGGAGTAAAAAGTGCATTCACTGACAAGGGCGCAGTGGGTGGGGCGCGAAATCGCTTATGTAAACTTGTGCTAATACGACCGCCCAATCGAAAAAAAGAACAAGAAAGGGACAAAAGAAAGAGTTAAAGAAATGATTTAGAATACGATACTTGAAACTTTTCGCGCGCATTCAGAAATGCGCTCGAGATGCCCAAAATGCCGAAATTTGGCAAAAAGGATTGAACTGGAACAGACTATCCCGCGATATGGGTCAGAAACTCCAAATGTACTCTTTTCTGCGGAATTTAAGCATTCTCGAGAGTGAGACTTTTGAATCGGGGAAAGCTGGGTTGTGGAGCACGAAATCTTGTGGGTTGACCGCCTACAATCTGCGAATTCTTTTAGAAGAAACTCGCTGGCTCATGCGCTGCTGAATTTAAGGGTTACCTACTCGTTTTCATGTTTTGAACAGCCATGTATTTCTTCATATACGACCACTCCCGAAACCGAGAGGGCCTGATTGCAGGCTTCCATTTTTGAGAACTCATTTTTCCCCATGTCCTTTATTCAGGAAAAAACTCCCTGTTGTTTTTTCTGAACGGTTTCGGACGACACATGAAAACACACCGCACCTCCAGCTCATACCAACTGCACTTTGTTTGTTGACTGGAATTTCCTCCGGGCACATGTATTTTTGTCAGAGTTATCCGGAAACTGTTCTTTCGACATCGATTAAATCACTTGTGTATTGCGCTATGCAAGCGATTCTCACGCAAAGCTGTTGGAAACGTGTGGCTTCTTAATAGGTGATGTGCTTGTGTGGTCCGTGCACTATGTTTCGTTTGCTTACCAATTCATGACGTTGATAGTGAGCCGGCCACTGTACTCCCCATTTCCTGAGCTTGCAACTAACTTGCCTCTGTCTTCAGGTGCCCCTTCAACTGCTCGCCACACTTAGAAATATACCAGAAATAACACAACATGAAAACGAGAACGAATAACTACAACATTTCCATCGATCTGCTCCACCCATGTCTGAATAAACCCTGCGCTAGCGACCTCCCGCTTCCCGGTCAGATACAGCTCCCGTTGTGGTTTGATAGCGTGCCTTGTGTAAGCCTGACGCACGCGAAAACGCTCGCAGAAACTTGTTCGACATAGATGTAGTATTTTTGCCTTATTACTTACAGTATCCCTCAATGATTTTCAAGCCCCCTTCTTTGCAATAATCGTCTTTATTGACAGGATCGAAACGTTAAACAGGCCAAACCGTGAAAGGGGGAAAAATACTCAAACGGCCGCTCGAATTAAAAATGCATCTTGTATATGGGGCGTCTCATACTGCACAGAGTGGAGCGCTCTCTCTTGCTTTTCTCGGGAAAACCCCAGAGCTTTTTGCTCCCTACAATTCCAGTCGAGGTTCACCTTTTACATATTTTCGCTGAGCGATCACGCTGTTTCAATTGCCTGTGAATAACTGCTCTGATCCGCGTATTAAGCAACACCAGGTTTCTGACTATTGTAGCATTTTTGCTCGTCAAAAAAAATATTGAAGTCTTTCATGTAACTGCTGCCTACAGATAGGAGACAGCAACCGTTCAGCTTCTCAACTTCTCCGCTACAGGACTTGATTCTAGGAAACTACCTCTGTGAGACCGTGCTCCTTCTCGTAGACGATGTTCTCTACCAAATTTCCAACTGTGAACAGGTGCGACAGTGCAAGAATCAACGGAATTACAGCATGCATGTCTATCAAAAATCTGAACATCGACCGTTAGCTCACATAGAGTGATTTATTGGGAAAGACTAATGAAGTAGACGAAAAATCTCAGGAAACCAAACATTCACGATTGTGAGTTGCTATATAAGCATGCCTGACATGAGTTATCAGCACACACTTAAAGGCAGCGCCCGCGTTCAAATTTAATGAGTATGCGGCTCAGGTAGTAACAGCGAGGTAGCAAGAAGCCTATTAGTGAAGAAAAATCAAAGAGAAAACACGCAAATGCCCTAGAAGGAGTTTCATACCGAACAACGGTTGTACGTGCTTAAGGCGAAGAGAAGGAGTGATTGCACGAGTTTCCACTTGTTCATATCAGCTGTTTTCCCTTATCACCTCACTCTCACCACTCCACGTGGAGAGAAGCAGCAATGGAACAACCGCACCATCAGGCAACCATTAGAAATGAAGTTGGGTGGCGTGGTCGGCAGGTGGGCGGAGCCGTCGGCTCTTTGCGGGCGGACGCCGCTGTTCCGTCGCATTTTTGGGTTGCGAAACATGCACGTCCACCATCCTCATAGGGGAGCTACTAGATCCAGAGAGGGCGTGAGAACAACAAATGAACGCGGGCGCTGCCTTCAAAATATGAATATTTCTTCAATGCGGATAATTTCTCAAGTTTCCAAACTCGATGGCCTTTCCTTTTACATACCAGTGCTGGCTTTTCAGTGGAGCCGATACAAATCACGCGATTGCGAAAGTCTTTCTGAGGCTTTATGGTTTTGATCGACATTAGGAGCAAGGACCTTTCAGCCTGATAAACGAAGCAGGAAAGTAACTTACCTATCGTATCTGAAACATGGGTAGGCCATCTGTTCCATGCCAGCTCCCGGTTCCACAATAGACATACCCGTCATCACAGATATTATGGCGCGCTCGACAGCATCCTGAAATGCACATCTTTTCCAACTACTGGTGGCTAGGAAGTATGGAGCGCCGTTCCTTCCAGTTTCCTGCAAGTTTCCTTCATCTTTTAACCAAGTTTGCAGCTTCATTCGAAACTGTCTTGTAGCAACTCTTCTGCTTACTTTCCAATAGTATGTGACTTTTTCAATGTCTCGTTGTTGGGCCACCGTCTGCCCACTGTGGCTGGGGCGGAGCTCGATTAGAGGAGTTCCGTCTGGCTGGCGTATGACGCGTAAAAAAGTGTTGTTGCTGCTAAAAATGAAGACACTAAACCACTCTAGCGCGGTCAACTAAGTGTATTCTGATCGGCCTGCTTCGAGAGAATTCTAGAAAGAGATAATTCGCCACGGTTAAGCTGTTTTTGAAATGTCTTACTGCTTGAAACGGAGTATGGCACTACAGATTAGGGGGCACAATCAAGGCCAACTGGCCAAGACGGAAACGCTTTTCATACAATCTTCTGAACTTCATTGTGAGCGTGCAGGGAACATCGGAGACGGGTACCTTGCAATGTTCCGAGAGCCGTCAGCGAGGAAAAAGTGTCCTTTAGCAGCTCCACCTCGATTGAGGGCTTCCATGGAAGGAATTAAAAGGTAAGAAAATCACCATTTCGGGAAATAATTAACGTGAGCATATAAATGTCTAGAACAATATGCAATGAGATTAAATTCGGCGCGCCTTCCATTCAGAGGTCTTCCATGATATCCTGTGTAGTAGTTAAGGGCGTATACTTCGGGTTGTTTGTTTGTTAGTGTTTTTAGCAACGTTTGTTACTTAGCTTCCACTATGGTACATACAATAGAAAACTCGGTGAAAAAAATGCGCATGTGTGTAATAGAGAATTTTTAATGGCGTCCATACTTCTTAGCCAGAATACTCTATGAAATTAAAGTCTCTGAACCTGTAGCCATAAGAATCCGTATGAATAGTAAGAGTCATCCCAATCTCGCGGACCAGTAAAATACGTATGAACATCACGAGCTCCTGCAGTAGTCGGCGTAAATGCGGGAATCTGGCGAATCTTGTATTTCACCACTGGATCGAGAGTTGTAGCTGTAGGAGAGATGTCCTCGAAGACAATTCCTGTAGAAACTCCATAATAAAATTTTTTTGAGTGAAGCCCATAAAATATTCACCAGCGATCACCTCCGTTGGATTTTGAGTGGCGAATAGTTCCAGTGCTGACTCGTTGGCAAAACCTCAAATGGGTTTGGACTCAGCTACATTGTAAAAAGCGATACAATTTTTAAAAAGGATGATCAGGATAACTAAAGAACTTTGGGAACAGATCTTCTTCACAACTCCTTCCTTTTTTTGTCTTAATGGTCTGTGTCTCTCAGTTGGAATAGTGAAAGAATTCTCGAGTATGCAGAGGCCCATAACCTGGTCATCGTGAATACAAACTTTCGCAAACGACTCCCACCTTATCAGCTTCTACAGTGGGAGTGCCAGAACGCAGATAGACTTTGTCCTTGTTAGACACCGCGACCAAGGGCTCATCACGGACGCGAAGACGGTGCCGTACGAGACAGTTGCCACCCAACATCGCCCACTAATCTGCACGCTAAAGATCGCAAAGCTTCGGTCCAAGCGGGCCGAGCGATGTGGTCCCGAGAGGATTAAACGGTGGCGTTTTGAAAGAAAAAGAGGCAGCTGTGATCTCTCATATAAGACTTCCCAACATCACGAGACCTGGAAAAGTGTTGCCAAAGCCATATATGAGGCCGCTCGTTCCGAACTTGGCGTCACGAAGCCGGGAAGGCGTAAATAGATAAGAGCCGGTGGGTATGGACGAGCAGTGTCAAAGAGAACGCCGTTCGACGAAAAAAGGCGCGCCTACACCGTTTCTTGCCGACAAGTCAGCTATTGTACTGCGTAAGTACAAAGAAGCGAAGAGCGCAGCGAAGAAGGCTGTGGTTGCAGCGAAGGCCGCCCACTTCGAAGATGTCAGTAGGAAGCTCGATTCACGTGATGGTGAGCGACATCGGCTACCGACTTGCCAAGGCTCAGCATCGTCAGGCTGAAGATATCGAGAAGTTTCCTGATGTTAACGACGAGCATGGCCGCCTTTTGATGGACCGAAAGAAGGTGCTGCAGGCCGATGGGCCACCCCCGGGGGGGGGGGGGAAACTTTTTTAGAACATTTCCAACCGTAGAAATATGGCGCACACCGGCACATCCTTTCGTGCCCCCCCCCCCGTATACGGTCCCGTTCAAAAAGGAAAGAGACGGAGGCGGCTCTCAGAAAGATGAAGTCAGGCAAAGCAACAGGACCTGACGACGTGGCAGCCGACTTGTGGAAGGCACGGTGCTGGTATCCTGCACGATGGTTGACAATCAGGTCGTTGCTGAGAAGAAGACGCCTAAGGACTGGTAAGAGAGCACGCTAATCCCCATTTGCAAGAAGAAAGGCCAGCCCTGCGACTGGTCAGCCACGCCAGTCGCCCTACTGTCACACAGGTATGAGAATCTCCGATAGCGAATCGTTGACGGCGTATCGCGAAATCGTTCCAGCTCTCTATCCATGCAGTGCGGCTTTTGTGGCAGTGCGCAATCCTATACTCCAGCTTCAAAGAGCCGCGTGCATGCACCATCAGGCACCTCGCAGGACTTTCCCATCACGGTAGGAGTGCATCAAGGCTCTGCGCTTTCTCCACTCCTTTTCGTGGTCGTCTTGGATGCAATTTCACGAGATCTCCAGAAGCCGAGTCCATGGACGCTTCTCTACGCAGATGATGTGGTGCTGGCCAGTGAAGACAAGAAAGAACTCGAGCAGCAGGTGCAAGCTTGGTCTGATCGCCTGACGAAGTTCGGATTGAAGTTGAACATCAAGAAAACTGAATACTTGACGACCGATACAAATGAGTCCGATTCCATTAAGATCAGTGGCATCGAGCTCACACGCACAAGAGCCTTCAAGTACCTTGGATCAGAAATTGTGTTCGATGGCAGTCTGACCTCAGAGGTGAACTCTCGTGTGAGTGCAGCATGGGCCAAATGGCGCTCGATGACTGGAGTTCTGTGCGACAAGACCATACCAGAGCACCTCAAATCGAAGATATATAGAACTGTGGTCAGACCAGTAGCGCTGTACGGGGCTGAGTGCTGGCCTGCAACCAAGGAAGTCGAAGCCCGCCTTAGTGTGATGGAGATGAAAATGCTACGTTGGACGGCCGGTGTCACCCGTATGGATCGGATTTGCAACGATGACATACGCAAGAAGTTTCGGCGTAGCTCCCATAGTTGATAAAATGCGAGAGTCTCGTCTCCGATGGTATGGACATGTACTTCGCGCGAAGGCGGACACCGTCTGCAAAACTGGTCTCCAGCTCGAGGTGCTCGGCAAACGGCCGAGAGGACGCCCCAGGCAACGTTGGCTTGACACGCTGCACGCGGATTTGAAGATAGTTGGTGCTCACCCTGATCAGGCATTAGATCGGAATAAATGGCGTAACAAAATCAGGAAAGCGGACCCCGCCACAGCGGGACAAACGCTGAAGAATAAGAAGAAGAAAAAGGATGGTTGGTCGAAGGCTACTTTGTACTGCCTCCCAAATCTGTTGAAAGATCTCCGAACAGAACTATGGACGCTTTCGAGCAGACTAGTGCTCGGAACCACCACTGTTCAACCAGCAGATAAATGGTGGATGATCCTGCAGAGAACGTGCTCCGATGACGTAGTGGATTGACGACAAGGTTCATGTGCGTAGGCTAAAGGGTTCGAGTCCTTCGCAAGACCTCTGTTTTGCATTTCTTTAAAACGCTTTTTGCACGTCCTAGAAGCACTTTCACGTGGCTAAAGACCTGTTTTTGCCTAAAAATGTGTTTCTGAAGAAGTGGAGACATTCTGGAGCGCTCCTGAAGGGCACTCCCGGTCGTTGATTTCAGCAGCATCCTTCCGTTGCGTGATGTTATGTCACCAAAATGATGCCAAATGGCATGGAGGCCAAGAAAGAATGTCGTATTCACGATCAGGACCGTCAGCAACCTACAAAAATTAAGACATGGCGTGGTGGTGGTACTCTATTGCCTTTTGGTATTTATTTTAATCCGGGATGAAGCCAGCGACCTCAAAGGATTTAGTGACCATGGTTACCCCACTGTTTCGAAAAATGGTCAAAATCTCAGATTTGGCTAAAAACTTGCCTCATGGCTTTGAGCCGCCAGAACGACGATATGCCCGTCTTTAGCGCCCAAGCTGCTCGAACAGATAATGACGCCAGAATGCGAACGTGATATGTCGATAAAAACGACCATAATGTCAATTTTCAGAGCACCAGACCACTTATACTTTCAAATTTTAGCGAATCTGGGGACTTTTTTGCGCCTTACATACATTTTGAGAATGGAGTGACCTGGTTCGAAAGAGCTGCACAACTTTGCTTAGAGAATCTTTTAGCAGGATATTGTAGGAAGGCAAATTTTGATCTATCGGCGAGTGTGCACCTCACTTTCTTCGAATGGCATGTCTGTCGACAACCATCCTTTCCTGGTTAACTCGCCATTAAAGACATGAACGAATAAAACAGTAATAAATAATTAAAGTAAGCGAGTAACGAAATAATATAATGCTAGTTATATTAGCGAAATAATCACCTATTACGCTCGGCAAGGATACAGAAGAATTTGAGCTCTGCAGCTCGAGGGCCAAGCCGATATCAGTCCAAGCGAACGATCAGGCATGACGTGTGAAGTGAATGTCGGAGAGATGAGTGTCAAGGCTTCACCGTAATATCGTCTGATGAACTCCATACCGATTGAAGACATCTCCTTAACATGAATCAAAGCATGAAGGCACAGCGAATCAAAAGAATCAGCGGCTTGATCAATACATGTCGATAAGTAATCAACAGCTAAAATGGTACAAAACAGAGCTTAACGGTCAGCTCAAATGCAGTCAATTGTGCTAAGATTACATTATCCAGGTTCGTGATATGTACACGGGGAAACAATAAGCGCTGAGAACAAAAATTAAGAGCGATGTTGTTCATCCATCGAAAAGATGAGAAAATGTGAATATGAGCGTGAATCTACATTCAGCTGGTTGGTAAATGGTGATCAAATAGGCACAATCGGAGGAGGTTCGTTAGTTCCTTTTTGTTCTAAGCCGTGAGTTCGTGCGCATCCACGGCAGAACCCCCACCCATGGTGAATGCAGCACCAGTAAAATAATCTGGATACAGCTGTCCATTACTACTACTATTTTTGCATTCCTGAGCTCTGCTAGCCACAGAGATCTGGCTTCGTATTCCGGAACCCACAACTGTTTTCATAAAACTTCCGGCCAACAACGCTCTAGCAACAACGCTCTGCAGTCCTGCCATGCGGACTAACCAAAAACTATTTGAAAGCGGAGGAAGGTCGTTCAGGGCCTGCCTCGCTTTTTCAAAATAGTTTTTTGCGTTAAGTAGGGGCTTGAACATTGACCACACAAGTGGGGTTCATTTTCGCTGAGCGGCCCCAGGAACGCCAAAGAAGCGAAAATTACGTCCATGTACCTCTATATGAGAGACATTAAGCGCTGTACTGGCACCAAATGCGTCGACGTCGAAAATAACTGTCAAAATCGTACAGGACTATCGATTATCCGTATGGACGAACTTCCAGCCAAACAACTTTTGTTCGATTTTTCGGGTTGTGGTGGACCATTTGGTTGGCTGTGGTGACAGGATTCTCACATATTCGTGAACAAGGTGATGTAACGACGACGTAACAGTCCGCTGGGCAGGACCCAACCTGGTGGAATACTTCCCTTTCCTTCCACTTGGCATGAACATCGGCACTGTTAGTTCTGTGTTTGGACATTAAAAAACTAGGGGGGTCCCTATGGCGAGGCACTGGAGACTTCTATAGAAAGACTGTCGGACACCACCAATGCACAGACCCAAAAAAGTCGAAAAATTTTTTTTGGCCGAAAGACTGTTTACAGGGATAGTCGCTGGCCCCGACCAGGATACGCTTCCCTGTATTTCAGTTGGCTGCGCGAACCTTGCGATTGAAGAAATAGTAGCTCCGATATGTATAGATGAAATGGCGCCAGCCGTAAGCTATATATAAGTTCCGTATGCGTGATTCGGGCGTGGTTGCCCTATAAATATCAACTTTCAACTACGGTCTTGCTTAATGGTATGTAAAACCTGTAATTTGAACAGCACCAATTCATAGATTATCCCCATTCAAAATATGCCATAATGCATATAGCCGAACTCAGTGACTCGGAGGGTGCAGAGGAGAGGCGAGTGAGTGGGGGGGTTGAGGGAGCGGCGGGGAAGAACAGCAAACATAAAAAAGGCAAAAGAACGCCGCACGCCGAGGGAGAGTGCGAAGCCATCAAGCCCACCCCAAACCGTCCGGTTGGAGAATCCTCCGCGGCTATCCCGTAGCACGCGATCGTTGGTACTGACCCTTGCTCTGATCGTTGAAGAAACCATTCCAAGAAGCCGTTCATTTCTGATTACGTGCCACAAGTAATACTCCATACCCCGACCACTTTTCTCTTCGATTCCAATATTACCCTTATAGTTTGTGTCCTCCCAGCTCCGAGAAACTGATCAGTGCATGTCATGCGGTTTACAGCCGCGTTAGAGCTCAAGAAGCAGATCAGTTATCCATGGTCGTTTTTCTGCTTCCTTTTTTGCATCCAGGCGCCGCCGCAGCGAAAATTGAAGCCCTTCCGTGGTTCATGGGCAAGGCCCTACAAAGTGCAAAGAACCATTTCGAAAAAGGGGGGCACGCCCTGAACAACGTCCCTTTTAAGAGCAGGACTGCAGGAAGAATATATATACGATATTTTGAGAGAGCATCGTTGGTAGCATTCTGCGGGTGAGTGGTGTGAATCAGTGAACAAAAGAGCTTGGCGCAAAAAAAGGCACTGAGAGCTACATTTATCTCTTTACTTATCACATGTCACCAGTAGCCTCTGACTAGATTAGCTAGACAAAAAGCGCATATACGTAAATACAGAGGGGATAACCGTGGTGTAACTGCATACCGTAGACGATCAACGTAGAATTTTAACTGTCGTCATTCGCCCGCCTCCGCAACTAGCAATCGAATGGCCCCAAATTTCCCAGTGTAGCTGTGTGAGAGTTCACCGCAGTTAGAATTTTAAATGCTAATACGAATATGTAGCGATCCAAAAATTGCTATGGGAGCGTCGCGTGTATGTGTATTATCTTTGGCTTGTGCAATGTTACGAAGATTTGCTTCTGGCCACGGTGAGGCCGGATACTTCGGCCGAGTTCCACATTGGTTAAGTGGGTAGCGGGTTCTCGCTTCAGCACTGATTGCAGGTTTGCCGCCGTCGTGCGGATTTTTTGTTTTGACTCTGATAACAGCTTCCAAACTTTCTGAAATATTTACGAGTTAACAACAGAGCAGAGTGAGTAGGTCAATATCTGACTTTGTAGGCCATATACAGGATTAGTATTGCATACGCCTTAAACAGCGTTCAGACTTGTAGCGCTACGTCGCGCTACAGCTGTACCAAACTCCAGGTTCCCTTTATGTTTTTCTTTCTGAATGCAATCCCTTTTTGTTCTCATTTTTATCTGATCCTGAGCTCCTTTTTTGACACTGAATTTTGATGTATTTTTTATTGAGCAGTTGAAATTGTTTGAACAATTTCGCAATCGGGATCAACAAGACGCACCACTGCAAGACATCAAACATCTATAGCAATCTGAGGTATGGATAATTAAACGATATATAAAATTAATCATCACATGTGTTCTGTATTCAAAACTGCATCAAAATTTCGAGTGTTAAAGAATAATAAGATGAGGAGCTCAGCATGCAGATTAAATCTTGAGAAAATTTAAACAAAGATAGGGATTACGACATTCAGGGAAACTGACAAAAAATATATAAAGGGAACCTGGAGTTTTGTGTGTATGCTTATCGTCTATTTAGCGCGACCCCCCGCCACTAGCGCTACATCTGAACGCTGCCTTACGACGCTTACGAACCTCTCCGACTTTAATTCGAAGTTTGGACCAAAGTTCATATTTGACTTAGAGAGGATTGTTCGTGTTAGGTAGTCAACCCTGAACGCACATATCACATCCATAGGCTGCGTCACAACTAGCAGGGCAGGCCGTGGCACCAAGTCACCATAAAACACCGAATCTACTGAAACACTGGCACCAGGAGCTTTTGAACTTCCGGGCTGCAAACGCTGATCCCGTGAGCTTGTCCTTTCATCTAGTCCTTTAAGGACTACCGAACACTCATTATACTTCTTCTGACAATTTTTAGGTAACATGATTTAGTTCAACTCTTCCGTACTAACATTTATCGTTCTTCAAGTCAATATACTTAGTGCTTACAAGGATGAGAAGAATAATGCCATGGCAAACACGGATGCTGTATACACCATTAGTAAGCAGATCACCACAGATACGCTGGTGATATGAAAAATAGTACTATTGTAGTAGGAGAGCGTGACGTTGAGTAGGTTGGCGATTGTGACGAAAGGCAATGTAGATAGCAATGCTGACAACCAAACAACAATAGTGTCGGCACCCATTGAATGCATTACCTGATATGGACAGCATAAGTAAGGAACCAACAACAGCTACACCAATCTGAAGCGAGGTTCTCTTTGACCACATAATTAAGAGAATCCTAGGCACAATCCACGATAAATCTAAAACCTAGCTGATGGAGTTGAAAAACAGAAGTGTATGTGCCTTCATGACTGACCCTCCGAACAAAAAGCAAAGAAAACGGTTGAGCATTCAAACCTCTAAATGAGGCTTTCTTGTTCCGAGAGATTCCAAGTTACCGGGTAAGAATCGTTGGGGTCCCAGGTGAGATAGAAGCAACAATGCAAACAAGCGCTATAAACAAGCGCGATACAGAGATCAAAGTGGGATTTAGTTACTTTATTCTCGACCATGAATCATCTCGTCTCACGGGGCTTCGGTTTATACCATTTCCACTTTACATCGGTTTCAAACCAAATCGGACACTTTTCAAACCAAATCGGACACTTTTCAAATCAAATCGGACACTTTTCAAACCAAATCGGACACTTTTCAAATCAAATCGGACACTTTTCAAATCAAATCGGACACACCCCTTACAAGTTGGCAGTTGATAACTGGACACCGGCTTCCGAATGCTGCCCTCTGAAAATGTGAAATGTTGGAGGGCTTGCAGTATTCGGGAACCTTCAAGGTTTTTCAAAATGTTCTACGAATTCTGCTTCTCCTACTTTTTTCATTTTTGAAGGACTGGTACCGATACAGATATGACTCCGCCCACTTTTCAATGAAGTCGTCGCAAGTTGGTATTTTTATAACTTTTTTCGACTTTTTCCATTTCTTTCACAATCAATCTTCACAAAACGAACATACTAGCCATGCATTTATACACTAGCACACTAAGCCCGCCCCTCTGACCACGCCCACTTTCGTTTTTCGCGGAATTTTGATTTCTCTTCAATTTTCACTTTTTTTAATGCTGTAACAAGTAGCTCCGCCCACGTCCGCCCAGCTCGTAAAGCTCCGCCCACTTTTGGGAAGATCCAGATCGGCAGACTACAGCTTTTACTGGAAGGATGTTCTCTCTCGTCAGCTAGAATGAAAAAAGAAGATTTTTGTTCCGAGTGACAGGAGAGGCCTTAATCTGCCAGTGAGTGCTCTAGTCTGCTGACCCCAAACCATTTTTCAAAAGCGGGCAGGGCTACAAAATGATCGCAGCTTCTCCTAGTGGGCGAAGCCACCTGTTACAGCTGAAAAAGCGAAAACACGGAAGAAAATCGAAATCCCACAAGAAAAAACCCAAAAGGGCGTGGCCAGAGCGGTGAGGCTCAGTGGTAGTGTATAAATGCATGGCTAACAGTATGTTCGTTGCGTGAAGATGAAATTTGAAAGGAGCGACGTCGAAAAAAGTTTTGAAAATTCAAACTCGCGGGAACTTCATTGAGAAGCGGGCGGAGTCATATCTGTATCGATACCGATGCTTTTCAGATGAAGTGTGTGATCAACCGAAATAAAAAAAAATCGAAGAAGCAAAATTCATAGAACATTTTGGAAAAAGGTGACCACGCTGACAAGTGGGTGAGGATGTTGGGCGGGGATTGCAGCAGTATGTCGTCTAGTTATCAACTGCCTATTGTAAGGGTGTGTCCATTTGATTCAAAAGAAGGCCGTTTTGCTTTAAAAGCGCCCGATTTAAAGTGAAAATGGGTACATCACCAAATTTGCTGGAGTAAAAAGTGCATTCACTGACAAGGGCGCAGTGGGTGGGGCGCGAAATCGCTTATGTAAACTTGTGCTAAATACGACCCCCACTCGAAAAAAAAAGAATAAGAGAAGGACAAAAAGAGACAGAAAAGAAATGATATAGAATAGGATACTTTAACTTTTACGCGCATTCAGAAATGCGCACGAATGCCCAAAACTGCGAAAAGATGGAACCGGAACAGACTATCCCGCGATATGGGTCAGAAACTCCAAATGTACTCTTTTCTGCGGAATTTAAGCATTCTCGAGAGTGAGACTTTTGAATCGGGGAAAGCTGGGTTGTGGAGCACGAAATCTTGTGGGTTGACCGCTAAACAACTCTGCGAATTCTTTGTGAAGAAATACTCGCTGGCTCATCGCTGCTGAATTTAAGGGTTACCTACTCGTTTTCATGTTTTGAACAGCCATGTATTTCTTCATATACGACCACTCCCGAAACCGAGAGGGCCTGATTGCAGGCTTCCATTTTTGAGAACTCATTTTTCCCCATGTCCTTTATTCAGGAAAAACTCCCTGTTGTTTTTCTCCTGAACGGTTTCGGACGACACGAAAAACCCGCACCTCCAGCTCATACTAACTGCACTTTGTTTGTTGACTAGAATTTCCTCCGGGCACATGTATTTTTGTCAGAGTTATCCGGAAACTGTTCTTTCGACATCGATTAAATCACTTGTGTATTGCGCTATGCAAGCGATTCTCACGCAAAGCTGTTGGAAACGTGTGGCTTCTTAATAGGTGATGTGCTTGTGTGGTCCGTGCACTATGTTTCGTTTGCTTACCAATTCATGACGTTGATGTGAGCGGCCACTGTACTCCCCATTTCCTGAGCTTGCAACTAACTTGCCTCTGTCTTCAGGTGCCCCTTCAACTGCTCGCCACACTTAGAAATATACCAGAAATAACACAACATGAAAACGAGAACGAATAACTACAACATTTCCATCGATCTGCTCCACCCATGTCTGAATAAACCCTGCGCTAGCGACCTCCCGCTTCCCGGTCAGATACAGCTCCCGTTGTGGTTTTGATAGCGTGCCTTGGTAGTGACGCACGCGAAAACGCTCGCAGAAACTTGTTCGACATAGATGTAGTATTTTTGCCTTATTACTTACAGTATCCCTCAATGATTTTCAAGCCCCCCTTCTTGCAATAAATCGTCTTTATTGACAGGAGCGAACGCAAACAGGCAAATGTGAAAGGGGAAAGAAGTACTCACGGCGCTCGAATTAAAAATGCATCTTGTATATGGGGCGTCTCATACTGCACAGAGTGGAGCGCTCTCTCTTGCTTTTCTCGGGAAAACCCCAGAGCTTTTTGCTCCCTACAATTCCAGTTCGAGGTTCACCTTTTATATATTTCCGCTTGAGCGATCACGCTTTTCAATGCTGTGAATAAACTGTCTGATCCGCGTATTAAGCAAACACCATGTTCTGACTATTTTAGCCATTTTGCTTCGTCAAAAAAAATATTGAAGTCTTTCATGTAACTGCTGCCTACAAGATAGGAGACAGCAACCGTTCAGCTTCTCAACTTCTCCGCTACAGGACTTGATTCTAGGAAACTACCTCCTGTGAGACCGTGCTCCTTCTCGTAGACGATGTTCTCTACCAAATTTCCAACTGTGAACAGGTGCGACAGTGCAAGAATCAACGGAATTACAGCATGCATGTCTATCAAAAATCTGAACATCGACCGTTAGCTCACATAGAGTGATTTATTGGGAAAGACTAATGAAGTAGACGAAAAATCTCAGGAAACCAAACATTCACGATTGTGAGTTGCTATATAAGCATGCCTGACATGAGTTATCAGCACACACTTAAAGGCAGCGCCCGCGTTCAAATTTAATGAGTATGCGGCTCAGGTAGTAACAGCGAGGTAGCAAGAAGCCTATTAGTGAAGAAAAATCAAAGAGAAAACACGCAAATGCCCTAGAAGGAGTTTCATACCGAACAACGGTTGTACGTGCTTAAGGCGAAGAGAAGGAGTGATTGCACGAGTTTCCACTTGTTCATATCAGCTGTTTTCCTTATCACCTCACTCTCACCACTCCACGTGGAGAGAAGCAGCAATGGAACAACCGCACCATCAGGCAACCATTAGAAATGAAGTTGGGTGGCGTGGTCGGCAGGTGGGCGGAGCCGTCGGCTCTTTGCGGGCGGACGCCGCTGTTCCGTCGCATTTTTGGGTTGCGAAACATGCACGTCCACCATCCTCATAGGGGGAGCTACTAGATCCAGAGAGGGCGTGAGAACAACAAATGAACGCGGGCGCTGCCTTTAAGTGATTATTTCTTCAATGCGGTAATTTCTCAAGTTTCCAAACTCGATGGCCTTTCCTTTTACATACCAGTGCTGGCTTTTCAGTGGAGCCGATACAAATCACGCGATTGCGAAAGTCTTTCTGAGGCTTTATGGTTTTGATCGACATTAGGAGCAAGGACCTTTTAGCCTGATAAACGAAGCAGGAAAGTAACTTACCTATCGTATCTGAAACATGGGTAGGCCATCTGTTCCATGCCAGCTCCCGGTTCCACAATAGACATACCCGTCATCACAGATATTATGGCGCGCTCGACAGCATCCTGAAATGCACATCTTTTCCAACTACTGGTGGCTAGGAAGTATGAGCGCCGCTTCCTTCCAGTTTTCTGCAAGTTTCCTTCATCTTTTAACCAAGTTTGCAGCTTCATTCGAAACTGTCTTGTAGCAACTCTTCTGCTTACTTTCCAATAGTATGTGACTTTTTCAATGTCTCGTTGTTGGGCCACCGTCTGCCCACTGTGGCTGGGGCGGAGCTCGATTAGAGGAGTTCCGTCTGGCTGGCGTATGACGCGTAAAAGTGTTGTTGTGCTAAAATGAAGACGACTAAACCAGCTCTAGCGGTCAACTAAGTGTATTCTGATCGGCCTGCTTCGAGAGAATTCTAGAAAGAGATAATTCGCCACGGTTAAGCTGTTTTTGAAATGTCTTACTGCTTGAACGGAGTATGCACTACAGATTAGGAGCACAATCAAGGCCAACTGCAAACAAAACGCTTTTCATACAATCTTCTGAACTTCATTGTGAGCGTGCAGGGAACATCGGAGACGGGTACCTTGCAATGTTCCGAGAGCCGTCAGCGAGGAAAAAGTGTCCTTTAGCAGCTCCACCTCGATTGAGGGCTTCCATGGAAGGAATTAAAAGGTAAGAAAATCACCATTTCGGGAAATAATTAACGTGAGCATATAAATGTCTAGAACAATATGCAATGAGATTAAATTCGGCGCGCCTTCCATTCAGAGGTCTTCCATGATATCCTGTGTAGTAGTTAAGGGCGTATACTTCGGGTTGTTTGTTTGTTAGTGTTTTTAGCAACGTTTGTTACTTAGCTTCCACTATGGTACATACAATAGAAAACTCGGTGAAAAAAATGCGCATGTGTGTAATAGAGAATTTTTAATGGCGTCCATACTTCTTAGCCAGAATACTCTATGAAATTAAAGTCTCTGAACCTGTAGCCATAAGAATCCATATGAATAGTAAGAGTCATCCCAATCTCGCGGACCAGTAAAATACGTATGAACATCACGAGCTCCTGCAGTAGTCGGCGTAAATGCGGGAATCTGGCGAATCTTGTATTTCACCACAGGATCGAGAGTTGTAGCTGTAGGAGAGATGTCCTCGAAGACAATTCCTGTAGAAACTCCATAATAAAATTTTTTTGAGTGAAGCCCATAAAATATTCACCAGCGATCACCTCCGTTGGATTTTGAGTGGCGAATAGTTCCAGTGCTGACTCGTTGGCAAAACCTCAAATGGGTTTGGACTCAGCTACATTGTAAAAAGCGATACAATTTTTAAAAAGGATGATCAGGATAACTAAAGAACTTTGGGAACAGATCTTCTTCACAACTCCTTCCTTTTTTTGTCTTAATGGTCTGTGTCTCTCAGTTGGAATAGTGAAAGAATTCTCGACTATGCAGAGGCCCATAACCTGGTCATCGTGAATACGAAGTTTCGCAAACGAGACTCCACCTTATCAGCTTCTACAGTGGGAGTGCCAGAACGCAGATAGACTTTGTCCTTGTTAGACACCGCGACCAAGGGCTCATCACGGACGCGAAGACGGTGCCGTACGAGACAGTTGCCACACAACATCGCCCACTAATCTGCACGCTAAAGATCGCAAAGCTTCGGTCCAAGCGGGCCGAGCGATGTGGTCCCGAGAGGATTAAATGGTGGCGTTTGAAAGAAAAGGAGGCAGCTGTGATCTCTCATATAAGACTTCCCAACATCACGAGACCTGGAAAAGTGTTGCCAAAGCCATATATGAGGCCGCTCGTTCCGAACTTGGCGTCACGAAGCCGGGAAGGCGTAGAATAGATAAGCAGCCGTGGTTATGGACCGACAATGTCAAAGAAACGGTTCGCGAAAAGAAGAGGCGCTACCACGCGTTTCTTGCCGACAAGTCAGCTAGTAGCTGGCGTAAGTACAAAGAAGCGAAGATGTAGCGAAGAAGGCTGTGGCTGCAGCGAAGGCCGCCCACTTCGAAGATGTCAGTAGGAGCTCGATTCACGTGATGGTGAGCGGCACCTCTACCGACTTGCCAAGGCTCGGCATCGTCAGGCTGAAGATATCGAGAAGTTTCCTGGTGTTAACGACGAGCATGGCCGCCTTTTGATGGACCGAAAGAAGGTGCTGAGGCGATGGCACGACTTTTTGAGAACATTTCAACCGTAGAATATGCGCACCCGGCCATCCCTTTCGTCCCCCCAGTATACGGTCCCGTTCAGAAAGTAAGAGCGGAGGCGGCTCTCAGAAAGATGAAGTCAGGCAAAGCAACAGGACCTGACGACGTGGCAGCCGACTTGTGGAAGGCACGGTGCTGGTATCCTGCACGATGGTTGACAATCAGGTCGTTGCTGAGAAGAAGACGCCTAAGGACTGGCAAGAGAGCACGACGATCCCGATTTGGAAGAAGAAAGGCAGCCCTGCGGACTGCTCCAGCTACCGCCCAATTCGCCTACTGTCACACAGTATGAAGATCTTCGAGCGAATCGTTGACAGCCGTATCCGCGAAATCGTCCAGCTCTCTATCAATCAGTGCGGCTTTGTGGCAGGCTGTAGCACCATCGACGCCATACATGCCGCGCGTCTCTGCTGGAGAGACATCGTGAGAAGCAAGTACCACTGCATCTAGCTTTTCTGGACCTAGAAAAGGCATTCGATCGTGTTCCGCGTGAAGTTATATGGTACGCCATTGCGGCAACACGGCGTTCCCGAAGAGCTTATTGAGTGGGTGCGCATCCTATACTCCAGCTCAAAGAGCCGCGTGCATGCACCATCAGGCACTTCGCAGGACTTTCCCATCACGGTCGGAGTGCATCAAGGCTCTGCGCTTTCTCCACTCCTTTTCGTGGTCGTCTTGGATGCAATTTCACGAGATCTCCAGAAGCCGAGTCCATGGACGCTTCTCTACGCAGATGATGTGGTGCTGGCCAGTGAAGACAAGAAAGAACTCGAGCAGCAGGTGCAAGCTTGGTCTGATCGCCTGACGAAGTTCGGATTGAAGTTGAACATCAAGAAAACTGAGTACTTGACGACCGATACAAATGAGTCCGATTCCATTAAGATGGCATCGAGCTCACACGCACAAGAGCCTTCAAGTATCTTGGATCAGAAATTGTGTCCGATGGCAGTCTGACCTCAGAGGTGAACTCTCGTGTGAGTGCAGCATGGGCGAAATGGCGCTCGATGACTGGAGTTCTGTGCGACAAGAGCACCTCAAATCGAAGATATATAGAACTGTGGTCAGACCAGTAGCGCTGTACGGGGCTGAGTGCTGGCCTGCAACCAAGGAAGTCGAAGCCCGCCTTAGTGTGATGGAGATGAAAATGCTACGTTGGACGGCCGGTGTCACCCGTATGGATCGGATTTGCAACGATGACATACGCAAGAAGTTTGGCGTAGCTCCCATAGTTGATAAAATGCGAGAGTCTCGTCTCCGATGGTATGGACATGTACTTCGCGCGAAGGCGGACACCGTCTGCAAAACTGGTCTCCAGCTCGAGGTGCTCGGCAAACGGCCGAGAGGACGCCCCAGGCAACGTTGGCTTGACACGCTGCACGCGGATTTGAAGATAGTTGGTGCTCACCCTGATCAGGCATTGATCGGAATAAATGGCGTAACAAAATCAGGAGAGCGGACCCCGCCACAGAGCGGGACAAACGCTGAAGAATAAGAAGAAGAAGAAAGGATGGTTGGTCGAAGGCTACTTTGTACTGCCTCCCAAATCTGTTGAAAGATCTCCGAACAGAACTATGGACGCTTTCGAGCAGACTAGTGCTCGGAACCACCACTGTTCAACCAGCAGATAAATGGTGGATGATCCTGCAGAGAACGTGCTCCGATGACGTAGTGGATTGGCGACAAGGTTCATGTGCGTAGGCTAAAGGGTTCGAGTCCTTCGCAAGACCGCTGTTTTGCATTTCTTTCAAAACGCTTTTTGCACGTCCTAAGAAGCACTTTCACGTGGCTAAAGACCTGTTTTTGCCTAAAAATGTGTTTCTGAAGAAGTGGAGACATTCTGGAGCGCTCCTGAAGGACACTCCCGATCGTTGATTTCAGCAGTACCATTCCGTTGCGTAATGTTATGTCACCAAAATGATGCCAAATGGCATGGAGGCCAAGAAAGAATGTCGTATTCACGATCAGGACCGTCAGCAACCTACAAAAATTAAGACATGGCGTGGTGGTGGTGGTACTCTATTGCCTTTTGGTATTTATTTTAATCCGGGATGAAGCCAGCGACCTCAAAGGATTTAGTGACCATGGTTACCCCACTGTTTCGAAAAATGGTCAAAATCTCAGATTTGGCTAAAAACTTGCCTCTATGGCTAATTTGAGCCCCAGAACATCACACTGGTTCGGAGCAAAAACGCTTGCTATGAGCGCTGCCGGCTCCGTGCACGCCGTGCCCGTCTTTAGCGCCCAAGCTGCTCGAACAGATGATGACGCCAGAATGCGAACGTGATATGTCGATAAAAACGACCATAATGTCAATTTCCAGAGCACCAGACCACTTCTACTTTCAAATTTTAGCGAATCTGGGGACTTTTTTGCGCCTTACATACATTTTGAGAATGGAGTGACCTGGTCGAAAGAGCTGCACAACTTTGCTTAGAGAATCTTTTAGCAGATATAGAAGGCAAATTTGATCAGCGTCCAACGGCCTATCGGCGAGTGTGCATCTCACTTCGAATGGCCACTTCGACCAACCATCCTTTCCTGGTTAACTCGCCATTAAAGACATGAACGAATAAAACAGTAATAAATAATTAAATAACGAGTAACGAAATAATATAATGCTAGGTATATAGCGAAATAATCACCTATTACGCTCGGCAAGGATACAGAAGAATTTGAGCTCTGAGCGAGGGCAAGCCATATCAGCTCCAATGCGGAACGATTCACGGCACGTGAAGTGAATGTCGGAGAGATGAGTGTCAAGGCTTCACCGTAATATCGTCTGATGAACTCCATACCGATTGAAGACATCTCCTTAACATGAATCAAAGCATGAAGGCACAGCGAATCAAAAGAATCAGCGGCTTGATCAATACATGTCGATAAGTAATCAACAGCTAAAATGGTACAAAACAGAGCTTAACGGTCAGCTCAAATGCAGTCAATTGTGCTAAGATTACATTATCCAGGTTCGTGATATGTACACGGGGAAACAATAAGCGCTGAGAACAAAAATTAAGAGCGATGTTGTTCAAATTTCGAAAAGATGAGAAAATGTGAATATGAGCGTGAATCTGCATTCAGCTGGTTGGTAAATGGTGATCAAATAGGCACAATCGGAGGAGGTTCGTAGTTCCTTTTTGTTCTAACCGTGAGTTCGTGCGCATCCACGGCAGAACCCCCACCCATGGTGAATGCAGCACCAGTAAAATAATCTGGATACAGCTGTCCATTACTACTACTATTTTTGCATTCCTGAGCACTATTTTCGCTGAGCGGCCCCAGGAACGCCAAAGAAGCGAAAATTACGTCCATGTACCTCTATATGAGAGACATTAAGCGCTATACTGGCGCCAAATTGCGTCGACGTCGAAAATAAGTGTCAAAATCGTAATCAGGACCATCGATTACCCTTATGGACGAACTTCCAGCCAAAAATTTTTTCGATTTTTTGGGTTTTGGTGGACCATTTGGTCGGCAGTGGTGACCGGAGTATCCCATCTTCGTAAACACGATGATGTAACGACGACGTAACAGTCCGCTGGGCAGGACCCAACCTGGTGGAATACTTCCCTTTCCTTCCACTTGCATGAACATCGGCACTGTTACTTTTATCTTTGGATATTAATAAAATAGGGGGTCCCTATGGCGAGGCACTGTAGACTTCTATAGAAAGACTGTCGGGCACAACCCAACGCACACACCCAAAAAAGTCGAAAAAATTTTTTTGGCCGAAAGATTGTTTACAGGGTAATCGATGGCCCCGACCAGGATACACTTCCCCTTATTTGCGTGTACCTAACGTTCATTGAAAGAAATATGTAGCTCCATATTAGCGATAAATGGCACCGTAGCTACAAATAAGTTCCATATTCGTGATTCGGGCATGGTCTGACCTATAAAGGTCAACTTTCAATTACGGTCTTGCTTAATGGTATGTAAAACCTGTAATTTGAATAGCACTGATTCATGGAGTGTTCCCATTTAAAATGTGCCCATAAATGGCAGTTATCGAACGCATACTCACGCACAGACATATTTGAACGCGAAAACAGCAAAACATAAAAAATGCAAAAACTCGCACGCCGAGGGGAGTCGAACCATCAACCCCACCCCAACTGTCCGCTTGAGAATCCTTCCACGCTATCCACTAGGCCATCCGATCGTTGTTGCTGAACATTCCTCCGATCGTTGAAGAAACCATTCCATGAAGCCGTTCACGCTTGATTACGTGCCACAAGTAAGACCCCATACCCCGACTACTTTTCTCTTCGATTCCGATAGTACCTTTATAGGGTCCCTCCATTCAGCAACTGGTCAAAGTTTCAAGCGGTTTACAGCTCGTAGAGGCTCAAAACAATCAGTTTCCATAGGTTTCTTTTTCGCTCCTTTTTTGGCATTCCAGGGGCCGCTCAGCGAAAACGAAGCCCACTTTTATGGTTCATGGGCAAGGCCCTACAAAGTGCAAAGAACCATTTCGAAAAAGCGGGGCACGCCCTGAACAACCTCCCTTTTAAGAGCAGGACTGCAGGAAGAATATATATACGATATTTTGAGAGAGCATCGTTGGTAGCATTCTGCGGGTGAGTGTGAATCAGTGAACAAAAGCGTTGGCTCAAAAAAAGGCACTGAGAGTACACTACGCTCACTTATCACTTCTACCAGTAGCCTCTGACTAGATAGTAGAAAAAGGATATTACGTAAATACAGAGGGGATAACCGTGGTGTAACTGCATACCGTAGGCGATCAACGTAGAATTTTAACTGTCGTCATTCGCCCGCCTCCGCAACTAGCAATGGAATGGCCTCAAATTCCCATGGAACTTTGAATTGAGACCGCAGTTAGAATTTTAAATGCTAATTACGAATATGTAGATCAAAAATGCTATGGGACCTCCCGTACGAGTACTGGGCTGTCAAATTTTGCGAAGATTTGGCTCTGGCACGTGAGCGCCGGATATCGGCCAGTTCCACCATGGTTAAGTGGTAGCGGTCTCGCTTCAAGGGCACTGATTGCAGGGTTTGCCCCGTCGGTGCGGGAATTTTTTGTTTTGACTCTGATAACAGCTTCCAAACTTTCTGAAATATTTACGAGTTAACAACAGAGCAGAGTGAGTAGGTCAATATCTGACTTTGTAGGCCATATACAGGATTAGTATTGCATACGCCTTAAACAGCGTTCAGACTTGTAGCGCTACGTCGCGCTACAGCTGTACCAAACTCCAGGTTCCCTTTATGTTTTTCTTTCTGAATTCAATCCCTTCTCTTTGTTTCTCATGTTTATCTGATCCTGAGCTCCTTTTTTTAACACTGAATTTTGATGTATTTTTTTATTGAGCAATTGAAATTGATTGAACAATTTCGCAATCGGGATCAACATGACGCACCACTGCAAGACATCAAACATCAATAGCAATCCTGAGTCTGGATAATTAAAGTCGACAACGATATATAAAATCAATCATCACAGTGTTCTGTATCAAAACTACATCAAAATTCAGTGTTAAAGAAAAAAAGGAGCTCAGGATCAGATAAACATGAGAAACAAAGAGAAGGGATTGAATTCAGAAAGAAAAAACATAAAGGGAACCTGGAGTTTGGTACAGCTGTAGCGCGACGTAGCGCTACAGGTCTGAACGCTGCCTTACGACGCTTACAACCTCTCCGACAAATCGAAGTTTGGACCAAAGTTCATTTTGACTAGAAATTTGTTCCTGTAGGTAGTCCAACCCCTGAACGCACATATCACATCCATAGGCTGCGTCACAACTAGCAGGGCAGGCCGTGGCACCAAGTCACCATAAAACACCGAATCCACTGAAACACTGGCACCAGGAGCTTTTGAACTTCCGGGCTGCAAACGCTGATCCCGTGAGCTTGTCCTTTCATCTAGTCCTTTAAGGACTACCGTACACTCATTATACTTCTTCTGACAATTTTTAGGTAACATGATTTAGTTCAACTCTTCCGTACTAACATTTAGTTTCTATAACATTCATCTTAATTACCTTTTCTTTGACGTTATCCTTTTTTTCGCAAATAAGTGGGATTAGCCCACTTCAATTGTATTAATCATTACCCTCATCCACCGATGAGCCTCAACGGTAATGACGAAAATGGTTCGTATGGATAGGAGGCGAAACGAACCATCTCTAATTCTTTATCCAATTTTTCTAATTCCATCGTTATTGTTTTTACTTTATTGAATACTTTCGCCTTGGGATGCCAGCACCAGACACTTTTCGCGTTATTATCGTCAGCATCTATAGGGGCAACCCGTTGCCTTCGCTCAAACGGATGTGATATTCGCATTCAGGGGTCAAACTTCCCCCTTTAACATGTTTCTGGTCTAGTTAAGTTTCGGCCCAACATTCCATTTGTCGGAGACGTAAGCGTCGGTGCAATGACCAATTCTACTTCGATCATCCAATCAGACACTTGATCTGACCACTCTGCTGGGTCGCTGACTCGTGAGAATTTCTAAAATCAGTGCGAAAGCTGTTATCAGAGTCAAAGCCAGAATTTCCGCCTTCACGGGAAACAGATTCGATATGCCGTGCCTTTGAAGCGACACCGTTACTTCTAGGCCGCATCGGTCAACAGCCGACCAGCAGCGCTTACGTGAGAACTGCATTTTCGCAAAATTTGGCCCACAACTCGTCTGGAAAGTGCCGTAGCACTTTTAATCTACATATTAGTAAGCAACATTTGAAACTCTATCAATGGACTTAGGTCTCAATTCAAAACCCAGAAGTTGAAACCAGTCCCTTGTAAGATGCTCTGTCCTGCCATTACGTCGCCTAACGCTTCTATGCCATGATCGCTTGCCATGGCGAACCAGCAAAGAAGATTAGTGGGTTTGACGAAAGGATTAGATACGTATCGACCTGAAGAATCGCAGAACTAGCCAAGTGCAAAATTAATGAATCACGGAAATAGATCGATACGTACGAGTGCTCCTCATCCACTCTGCAATTCTTGGCACTGATCAATCCCTACTGCCCTAGCTTGCAAAGTTCCGGTACCATCCAAGATCCATCTGAGAAATGGTCTCAAAGGGTACTTCGATCACCTGAATACGAATATCACACCCGTTTAGTCCGAAAATCCTCGGTGCCAGCGCTATAAGCGGCGGCGCCAAAACAGACGGAATCACCAGTTTCGCTGAAAACTTGCCTCTAGAGTTAGTTTGACCCCTAGAACACAAACTCTCACTCCTTTTGAATTTGCATGATGTAGGGGCACGTTCATGGACTACCAAACTGACGTTCATTTTTCCTAAATGGCTCTGGGAATACCAAAAAAGGAGTGAAAAAGAAGTCTATGGAAACCGATTGTTTTGAGCCTCTATGGGCTCTAAATCACTTGCAACTTTGACCAGTTGCTGAGTGGAGGGTCCTTATAAAGGTACTATTGGAATCGAGGAGGAAAATAGTCGCAAATGGGGTCTTACTTGTGGCACGTGATTAGGAGAGAACGGCTCCTTGGAATGGTTTCTTCAACGATCGGAGCGGTGTTCAGCTACAACGATCGGATGGCCTAGTGGATAGCGTGGAGGATTCTCAATCGGACGGTGAGGGTTGGTTTTTCGACTCCCCTCGGCGTGCGAGTTTTGCATTTTTTTAATGTTCCGCTATTCTCGCTTCCAAGGTTTGTGCATGAGTATAACATGGTATTAGCCAATTATGGGCCCAGAGAATTCATTATGTGCAGGGAGGTTAGTGCTACACTGCCGCCAAATTGAGTCAGCGCAAAGAAAAATAAGTGTCAGAATCGTGATCTCACCATCGATTACC